CGGTGTACACAAACAAACTTACGAACAGCGAAGTAGAAAATCAGTGGTTTAATGAACATTCGCATATGACTTTTGCAAGACTCATACCAATAAATTGTGCTCGTAGCATATGTTTAAGATAAGGAGGAGAGTCTAAAAACCACTGTACGTAAGTGGAGAAATATAAGAGATGGAGCAAGATGGTCGCTCGAAAATTCACGAAGCTTAAAAATAACTGAACTTGCCGAGATCCCGAATCACGTTAAGTGAAGTCACCCATGAACTGTTCATGCATCACGCCATGTCCAAAAGCTCCAGTAAAAAAGTTCATAGAAACCTTTTCTTGATATTTGTACGCGGGAAAACTTAAAACCGAGCAAAACCTCATCGTCCTTCCATGTCTGCATTCTCCGCCATATTTGTTTTCAAGGAAAATTTGCACTCAGTCTCACTCGGCCGAATTTCTTAACTGGGGCTCAACTGGGGCGATCATGTAAACTCGGTTCCAGACCTCGCTGCCAGCCCCCCCTGATGAAATCTGCATTCGAAATAATGATTATTCTATTTTTGAGCAGATTGTCGCAATACCGCGCAGTACCACCTTGCAACTTCGTTCCTAGGCTCTCTCTGGTTTTTCGCCCCTGCAAGGGTGCGTAAGACTGGTGCCAATTTCTCGGAAACTGAAGGTGAACCCCCTAATTAAATATTCATGCTATTTAGCTTCCTGTTTCGAGAGGATTTGAATTGCTTCATTGCTTTTATATATATTTGGATCATCTGAAAACAAGCATTGCCGATTCTGGTAAAGACTCAAGTTCACCAGCGTTTCCAAAAAATACTACTGCAGAAATTGGAAATAAGTTTATCGCAAAACCTAGTCATGGAGCTCTAAAGGGCAAATCAAGAAACATCAAATATGTCAGTGACTTAACTTCAGTAGAAGTGTCCCCGTTCCGTTTGATGCCTTAGAAATCAACCGAGGTAAGATTATTACAGACTCAGTAAAGAAACTAATTTTACGTTGTTGTCAGTAATAGTCGTTAAGCATGCATTAGCGGAGTGGGAGATAGCAGCCCAGGAGATCGCACAAACAACAAACTATCAGCTACAAAGTTTAGGCGAGAGGCTTGCGATATTTTAAGTCAAGCATAAACCCAGTTGAACATATTCTTCTTTAGCACTGACTAATAACTTTACTGTGACATGTCCTTCGCTATGAAATGCGAAAAGGTAGCTGTTCAATTATAAACATGAAGAAATCAGGCATCTGCGACGAATGTTCGAGATATTAGGGGAACCAGATCAACACATCACTAGTTTTGGTGTCATATAGCTTCATGACGGTAGTGTCGTTACAGTAGTTAGTACCATGTCAACGCGTCACTAAGTCAGGATTTGATTTAACTCAGTGACTTTAGTGTATAAACAGGGGTGAAATTTGCCCATTGCTTTACTCGGCTTAATGCATGGTGGTTTCCGCCTGTCACATAGCATCATGATATCCAATCAGTTCGTTTTGTTTCATCGCTGACACCACAAAAACTTTTAACCGAGTAAGGACAGATGCGTCTTGTTTTCAATGGCGAACATTTCATTTTATAAAGAGGTAGATAAGATCTTGAGTTCAAGGTAGAAACGGAAGGAGAAGAAAAAAGAAAGGAGAAAAAAACATGAAAATAGTTCACTATAGAATGATAAAGAGAAGGGTGTAAATAGACCTTGTCACGGTTTTCGACGCCATCTTGACGAGTAGGCGCAAACGGGTGAGAAATTACAGTGTTTGTATGAGAATCTAATTTCGAATAATTTCCGTAGAACAGCTGTTCTGAAAAAAATATGATTTGTAAACTAAAGCTTCACTCCTAAGGATTCTACTGAAACAATTTGAGGGCGTTACATGCACTAGAAGACCAAGAACCACTTTTTAAATTTCTTATACATTTTATACATTTCCCGGAAAATTACAGACAAACAATATGGAAAGTCTAAAGCAAGCCTCTGGACAAATTTATGCATATGCACGCCTCCAAATTTTTTTAGGAAAATCCTTTGCTTTGTACCTTTAGTTTACAATTGATATTTTTTTCAGAACAGCCGTTTTAAGGAAATTATTCGACATCACATTCTCACACAAACACTGTCATTTCTCACACGTTTGCCTACTCGTCAAGATGTTGTCGAAAACCGTGACAAGGTCTATTGAAAGAACTTTTGGAAGCGTGACAGAGAAGAGTTCTCGGTGACAGTATGCTTTGAAGGCCTAACCAGACAGTGCGACGTGTAAGCTGCTTTTATTCCGTTAGAAAAAAAGTGAGAAAAACTCAGCTCCCATCATTTAAAATGCAATTTGAATCTTTCTTTAGTAGCCACGCTACCTGTTTGCTGCTTCAAAACTGGGATAAGAAGGATAAGGTATCTCCACATTTTAGCTGTAGGTCTTTGACTATAAGCTACAAACGTTATTTCGTCCTTTCGAATTTTCTGACCAGGCTCCTTGTGTATGTTCAGTAATAATACCTGGTGATCATTGGCTCGCCTGAATGCTGGTTATTCGCATAAATATTGCAGTCTGATCTATTTGACACCTTTAACGAACTATGGGCAATATTTCTCAGCTGGCAAATAGAATTCTTTTCAGCCGTCTTTTCACAGCAGAAAAACAAACTCATGATCTCATGATGTACAGATTGGTTCACGTAGTATCCTTGGGCTGTATGTTTAGACATGTAACTGATAATTTTTTTCTTTGATTGTATTTGTTTAGTTTTCTCATTAGGCCTCACTGCTCTCGTCAAATTTGCCACGTTTCTTGAAAGGCTCTGGTTATGCACACTCTCCACAACAACGAAATTTTAAGGCTCAAGCATAGGTATTCGTGGCGCAACTACCCGCACAATTAGCACAACCAGAAAATTTGAATGAACATGCTTCAGAGTGTAAGGGCTCTGTTGATTTATTTTCCAAAATGCAAGAACTTTGCCTGGTATTTTACGCCTTTTTATATGATAGAAACAATTGTAGTATCAATCAAAGAGAACAGATTCCAAGAAACCCCAATGAGTCCAATGATATAGAGTGCACCTCCCACAACCCTCAGAACACTGATCAACACTCACAGCCAACACAAACAGCCCAACTAATACCTCCACAACCACAACAACCCTCAAATTCACCAAACCCCTCATAGCCAGCACAACTAGCAGAACAAGCACAACTCTCAATACTAGCACAACCAACACAACCACCACAACCAAAAAACCAGTACAAACAGCACAACCAACACAACTAGCAAAACCAGCACAACCAACACAACCACCACAATCAGCACAACCAACACAACCACCACAACCAACACAACCAGCACAACCAACACAACCAGCACAACCACCACAACAAACACAACCATGGCAACCACCACAGCCAACACAACCATCACAACCAGCACAACCAACACAACTAACACAACCACTACAACAAACACAACCATGACAACCACCACAGCCAACACAACCATCACAACCAACACAACCAACACAACTAACACAACCACCACAACAAACGCAACCAACACAACTAACACAACCACCACAACAAACGCAACCATGACAACCACCACAGCCAACACAACCATCACAACTAACACAACCAACACAACTAACACAACCACCACAAACACAACCATGACAACCACCACAGCCAACACAACCATCACAACCAGCACAACCAACACAACTAGCACAACCACCACAACAAACACAACCAGGACAACCACCACAGCCAACACAACCATCACAACCAACACAACCAACATAACTAACACAACCACCACAACAACCAAAACCATGACAACCACCACAGCCAACACAAGCATAAAAAACCAGCACAACCAACACAACCAGCACAACCAGCACAACCAGCACAACCAGCACAACCAGCACAATGAATACAGCCCTCACAACCGCCACAACCGACATGCATGTGTAGTGGTTCTGGTGTCGTTCAGATTGTGACGGTTGTATTTGTTGCAATTACGTTAGCTTTGTTGGTTGTGGTGGTTATGTTTTGGGGGTTAAGAGTTTGTGAGGGTTTTGCTGGTGTTTACATTGCTGGTTGTGATGCCCCAAATACCTATGCTTGAGCCTTAAAATTTTCTGGTTGTGGAGAGTGTGTACAACCAGAACCACGACCTCTTCAAGTCTATCAAGAAATGGCCAGGCATAGCACTCGTTCTTGTTCCTCTAAACAAGAGCGGCCCGTTGGTGGTAATAGGAAGAAATACATGCTGTTAGAAAAAAAACGGGCACCGAACGACTGTTTTCTGTAAATTATCTGTTCGGGGAAGCAAATATTGCCTAGGAGAATTTTCTATTGCTTGGGGAGGGCTAAACATTTCTAGCTGACCGTTCCATTCAGGTACAATTATAGATGCTTATCTAATAAATCCCCTGCGATTTTCTGAACTTTAATTTCTCACAAATTATTCTCCATGTTAGGCTAATTTTCGTAGGAAAAGGAAACCTAAAATTTCCCTATTAAAACATGTGACGGAGAGAGGAATACGAAAAATTCTCACTTTTTTAAAAATTACATCTAAAATTTCGGGAAAATAATTCTGAAGCCCTCGTAATTTCGAAAAGACTCGACTTCTCCTAGGATGATCGAACAGATACAAATTTTATTGCGCCGCTTAGAATGCTTTCATGAAATCTCAAAGCACTCTGGATAGCCTAAAAAGAGCTTTCAATGTATTTAGGAGGAAACCGTCGTTGGGTGCCCCTGGGAAAAGACCTCGGCCCTTTCCATGATGCACTGCCTTGAAGTTACGTTATCCGTGAAGTTACAGTGAGTTGTCACAACTTCAGGAACACAACTTCGTACAATAAAATGACTGAGCCCGATTTCAAAACAATATACAACAGTCTCAATTTCTCTTTCGAAGACAGACAAATATCACTGCACAATAATCTATCTGAATCTATTAGCAGGGAAAACCTTCATCAGCAATTCGTCAATCTTCAAGCATGGCGAGAAGTCCAATCACAGCTTCGAAAGAAGGCGAAGCCACAGCAGCCGCTGAGGAAACACTGCACTTTGATGATGACAATTTAAGAGGTGAGGAACAACATGCTATTTTTCAGTTGTGTCCAGATGTGAGGGTAATAATATTGAGTTTAAGCCATTTTATTCAATATTCGTAAAAGATATGCTTACGATGTCTTTTAATTTCATCTCAGCAGTTGCAGAAGTTAAAGACGGAATGATAAAACACGGAAAATAGACCATTTTCATTTTTCGTTTTTTCATTTTTTTTTTTAAATTCATACTTGGCTCGATTGACTATTCCGGGTTTTCAGTTACAGCGGCGAAGCCACGAGGAACGAGGGCGGAAGCCCGAGCTAAGAAAAAATAAGAGTCTTCTCTCCACCCCAATCTCTCCTCCTTTTTACCATTAATTTACGTAATTTCCCTATTTCGCTCACCGCACGTGGCAATGAGGGAAGAAGGACGACCGCTGGCGGTCTATTGTGGAGAGCGCAATTGACCATTCATATGGAAATTGCGCTGTGTAAGTGACAATTATTGTTATTATTATTATTATTATTATTATTATTATTATTATTATTATTATTATCCTTATCATTATTATCATTGTAGCAATCGCTGAGGTCTACAAAAATGAGGGCAACGATGAGTACAAGAAGAACAATTTTAACAAAGCCATTCAATTCTACACGGAAGGAATTAAAGTGAACTCTAGAGATGAAGAACTGAACGCCATACTGTACAGCAACAGGGCGGCGGCACGTTTTAATTTGGGTGAGAAGTTGCTGTTGTCTTAAATATCTTTAATTTCTTTTTGCCCATCGGATTGTTTTGGGGGCCGGGTACAGTAACAACTGCTATGAATACTAGCAGTGATTATGCGAGTACTGTGGTAAAAGGGTTCTATGCTGTTCCGTTCTCAACCTCGTTCCCAGGGTCCTCTCCTACTCGTCCCGCGTAAACAGGATACTGGGAACGAGGTCGGGGAGAATTAATTAAGTATTGTATTGTGCCGTTCTAGGGTGTAAATCGCCTTTTTTCGTTCATTCTTTCACAGGTAATTACACTGAAACACTGGATGATGCAAAAATTGCCGTGGGCTTACGACCATCTTTCTTGAAAGCTTTTGTGCGAGGTAAGTTAGCTATAGTCTCGTCGTCAAAATTCAGTGGCGAATCCGGGGGGGGGGGGAAGAGTCTTTGGGGTGTGGATTCCCCCAATATATCCGACTGATTAAGTATTAAGCCAACTAACTACTATAAAACTGAAACAGTTACCTCTGCATGGTCCTGAATTGTCGCATACAACTTCTCAGCTTAAAAACAGAACTTGCTTTTCATGTTGCCTTTTAGTCTTGGGGCTTGGTCAGTTTAATTAAATCTGAAAAGAGAAATTTCATCATTTATCGATTTAACACAAGAGGCGATTGATTTTTATGAGTAGAATGTTATGTGTTCACATGAACTGTGGTAAAAAAAAAATGTGTAACGACGTAGAAGGATGGAAGTTACTGGCTTCAACTGGGTGTTTAGGTTGGACCCTCCTGAGCAAAAATACCTGGATCCGCCCCTGATCAAATTTCTTTCCAAGTTAATTAGGTATCAAAAAGGTTGAGGCTAACCAAACGGACTGTAACCATGGTAACCGAATGTTTCATTACAATATCAAAGATTTCTGAACTTTGTAAAATATACTCCGTTGCACGTAGGTAAACTCTCCTCCAACACACCAGTCAACGTAACGAAGAGCCACTCTACTTCACCGAGTTGTTAACGATGTCCTCATTTCCCTCCCTTGACAACAAATGTGATGTTCTCCTAGTACTGTTTTAACGTTCAGTTGCAGCTGTATTAACTATTGATTCTTTCACTCTCTGATCGGTCTGGTGTACAATAGGTTTAGTCAGCTTATATCTCTTCTCTATCACAAGCTTCCACTTAAGCTGTTGCCGCTGTTTATAACATGGTAGCATGTGATATCATAATATAATGTTTGTAAAACTACGCAGTCATCGCTACAAAAAAATGCGCAGTAGATGTAATGTTGGCAGGGCAATTGAAAGGATCATGCGCATTGACTGTTCCTTGTACATGATTTTTTTCGCGTAGTTTCCCCGAAACTTTCATCACCCACGTAAATCTTCAAAAAGTCCTTCCCCTGAAACAACAAACAACATACTCAGCATTAAATACATAAAATGTGTGTTGGAGCTAAGCTGTGCTTTGTGTATTTACAGGTGCAAGTGCCTGCGTTCAATTGAAAAAGTTTGACGAAGCCATCACTTGGTGTAATAAAGGATTAGCAGTATCCTTTCCGAAAGTTGATAGTCAAAATAATTTTCATTTGGAGTCAATTTCCTTAACCAAAAGTTCTCTTCAAATCCTGAGCGCGGTCGCCGCCGCCCGTTTTAGAGAAAACACCGCGCGCCTAGCCTTCTCGCCCCTAGAATCGGTTCCTAAGACTTAACGAAACTGAATCGAAACAAAGCGTATTTCAAGGCTTTGGTACAAGAAAAATGGAAGAATTAACCAGAAGACAAAAGACTACTTCCATGGGAGAACGCAACTTTATTACACAAAAAAGTCGCGAATTTTTAGCCCGGTTAGGTCGGGATCATGACATGCACATGCTGCCCAATTTAGGGATTAAATTTCCGAGGCCTCTTTTCTTAAAGGCCCATGTTCACCCTAGATGCATTGCGCGCCCTATACTTCAGAGAAAAACATTTCGCGTAGTTGAAAATCGCTGCAGCCTTCAGTGTGTAGAGTCAATCTTTGTTAATCTTCCACAGTTCGCTAAATCTGGTTTAAAAGAAAGTCTAGACAGGTTTTTTTGGTATTTTTCTTTACATCTTTTTGGATATTTTGGTCTGGTATCAAGCCTTTTTGTTTCTGTGAGTGTTTGTTTCACTGCATTACTTTCGATGTCGGCGCCATCGAAACGTACGCTTGAAAGACCGCGTCGACGGGGGTCGCCGAAGTACATTCGTCTCTGTAAATCCGTTTTTTTAATCTTTGGAGAGATGGGAAAGAAGCTCTTGGCTGCAAATTCTACAGACAGCGTGTTTGCCGAGTTCCTTCTACATGGAATGTTCAATTGTAAACAAAGGTCCCGTTGAAATCAGTTGAAAGAAAAACAAGCGAGTCAATCTAACATGAACAATGCTTTATTTAATTTCAGTTAACCTATGAAGCGAGTGATATCCTTAACGTAAACTTCTCGTCTGGCGTATCACGATTAAATCTCTAAAGCAGAGAAAACTATTATTAGTAAACCAATCATTAGCAAAACCTAAAGAAAGTGTGACAGCGATTACAGCGACAAGACTTGTACTCAGTGCTGATTCGACGCTTTACAAACACAACTTCTCGCTCATTCTTTCGACAACACATACCTAAGCTTCCTAAAAATTAACGCAAACTAATAGACTGAGGAATCAAAACATTTCACAGTCGAATCGGGCTTCTATATGCTGACGACACCCAATTATATATTACCTTTAAATCTACCAGCTTGAATGACATCCAACAAGTGAAGTTGAGGGTGGAATGCTGTGTGAGGGACATTGATGAATGGATGATAAGAAACTATCTTAAACTGAACCAGGACAAAACGGACCTTGTAGTCATCAGTTCCAGATTCCATCCTATGCCTGACATCGGTCACATTACTGTTGGTTCTGAGTGCATTGCACCTCGTGACTCTGTTCGTAATTTAGGGGTTCAGTTTGATAGCATATTTAGTTTTGAGGAGCACATTAAGAACATTTGTAAATCATCATTCTATCATTTGAGAAATATTGCTAAAATCCGCAAGTACTTAAGCCAAGATACATGTGAAATCTTAGTCCATGCATTTATTAGTTCGAAACTTGATCACTGTAATTCCTTATTACATGGCCTTCCTAAGTATCTGTTAGCTAGACTACAGGCAGTTCAGAATGCTGCAGCTCGTGTTGTCACACTGACACCGAAGCATGTTCATATAACTCCTATTTTAATTAATCTTCATTGGTTACCAGTTGAGTTTAGAATAACTTTTAAAGTCCTTTTATTGGTATACAAGGCCCTTCATGGCCTTGCACCTTCTTATATTTCTGACCTTTTGAATTTTAAAACATACTCTAGGTCATTGCGTTCTTCATGTAAAGAATATTTAGTGGTTCCAAGAAGCAGATTGAAAACATATGGAGACAGAGCTTTCTCTATTGCAGGACCTAAATTGTGGAACGATTTACCTCTAGAGATTAGGAAATGTGCTTCAGTGGCAACTTTTAAGCAATCCCTTAAAACTTTTTTATTTAAGTTAGCATATAGGTTATGAGATTCCTTTTGTTTTAAGATGTTTTTGATTTATATAGTAGATAACTTAGGCTATATTTGAATTATATTGTATATTGTAGATATTTTATAATTTTTTTTTTTTTTATATATATATTCTTTTTTGTAATTAGGTAGCGCTTTGGACAATTATTGGATTTTAGCGCTATATAAATAAAATTATTATTATTATTATTATTATTCAAGAAAATCTCACCTGGAGCTTAGACGTTTCGTAATTTTATGATCTTCGTTTTGTTCATCGGACTCAACAAAGCATCCATACGCATTAACTACCATTTTAAATGTTGAACTACTTTCTCCGATGACATTTAACGAAGTCGGCGATAATCTTCCTCCATTTGGGAAAGAATTTAAGTCTTACTTGCTTCTTTGATACTGTCTCTCAAGAAAGCTAGTCTCCCTCGCAGTCGTTTTTAGTATCGTCACGCAACGCTCCTCAAAAGTGGAAGCCAATCAAAACACTGCATTTGACAAAAGAAGCGTTTCAAAACAAAAACACAAGCGCGCAAAGCCGATTTGGTGAACATGGGCCTTTAACACTGCTACATGTGTTACTGGTGTTACGCGGGGATATGCGCTGGTACTAAGTACCAAACGAAATAGCGTCTGAGCGATCTCGTCGATCACTTGATGAGTTGGACAACCCCGAACTTTTTTCGGCTGCGAATTTCGTTGAAGAATTGTCCAACTAGGGTACCTGACGTCTTTTAAAGCTGCCAGAATTCCTGGACTGTCAGCTGAGCAAATTTTTTGTTTTTTAATGTACCACCATGAAGCACCCTTTAACGCCGTGCAACACCATGTAACACCAAGTACTACCGTGTAAGACCCTGTAACACCATGTAACACCGTGTAACAGCCTGTAACATCCTGTGACACAACGTAGCACCCTGTAGTACCCACGTCCTCGAAAACACTGTAACACCGTGAAACACCATAGGCCACCGTTTAGCACCCTTTAACACCGTGTAACAGTATATAACCCTGTGTAACATTATATAACACCCTGTAACACCATATAACACCCTGTAGCATCTTGTAACACCATGTAGCACCGTGCAACCCCCGTGTGGCAGTCTGTAACACCCTGTAACTTCGTGTAACACAATGTAACTTCGTGTAACACAATGTAAAGACATGTAACACTATGTAACACCCTGTAGCATTAGAGCGGTTTTCACTTGACTGTCGAAAGGGATTGGTTTTGGTTTTGGTTTTGGTTTTACTACGCCCTTTGGTTGGCTAGTGTATTTACTTTGGTTTTGGTTTTACGACAGTCAAGTGAAAACCGCTCTATGTAACACAGTGTAACACCCTCTAACACCGTGTAACACCTTATAACACCGTGTAATACCATGTAAAACCCTGTAACACCTTGTAACACCATGTTCCACCGTGTAGCACCCTGTAACACCATGTTACACCCTTTAACACCATGTAACACTGTCTAACACCCTGTAACACCGCGTACCTCCGTGTAGCACCCTTAAACACCGTGTAGCACCCTTAAACACCATGTAGCACCATGTAACACCATGTCACACCGTGCAGCACCCTTTAACACCGTGTAGCACCATGTAACACCATGTCACACCGTGCAACAACCTTAAACACCGTGTAGCACCATGTAAAACCATGTCACACCGTGCAGCACCCTTCAACACCGTGTAGCACCATGTAACACCATGTCACACCGTGCAGCACCCTTTAACACCGTGTAGCACCATGTAACACCATGTCACACCGTGCAGCACCCTTTAACACCGTGTAAGACAATGTATCACTGTATAACACCATTTAGTTAAATCCAACTAGTGGTCTATTATCAATGCTGCGTTCTGATTGGTTGAGCTACTTCTAGGCAATATGTTATAGCCCACTAGTAGCGAAAAGCACGGGCTTTTTGGCGGCAAAAAATGATTAAAGTCTAGCTTTAACTAGCTAAAGTTTTTTTATTCTCGATATTTTTGACCAACCAGTTGGATTTTACTAAAACAATTATTCCTCTCGCCCTCATGGCCTCTGAGTCAATAGCCCATTCGGCCTTCGGAATAATTGTTAAGTATCACTGTGTAACACCATATGCCACCGTGTAGCATCCTTTAAGACCGTGTAACACAATATAACACAGTTGCGGATCCAGACCTTGAGATAAAGTTGGGGAGGCTGTCTCCCAAAAAAAGCCATTTTCTGCCCGTCGGATCTCAGTCTGGTCTGAAAAAAAAGAGGGGACGGTCCCCCGGGCCCCTACCCCTGAATCCGCCACTGTAACACCCTGAAACACCGTGTAACACCGTGTAGCACCCTTTAACACCGTGAAACACCATGTAACACTGTGTAGCTACCTTTAACACCGTGAAACACCATGTAACACCGTATAGCACCCTGTAACACCCTGTAACACCGTGAAGCAACATATAACACCCTGGAACGTTATGTAACACAGTGTAACACCCTCGAACATCGTGTAACACCATGTAAAACTTTGTAACTTCGTGGAACACCTCGTAAACAAACTGTGAGACTCATGTGTAATACCGTCTGTAAACGTGCGCGTGTGTACGACGTTTTACCCTGTGTAACATGTAACACTGTTACATGTGAAGCGCGTCAAAACTTTGGTCCCTGTATCGTGCATGGTATAACAGCATCACAATACCAGTTTCAAGGATGGTCCAGTTGTCCTGTAATCACGAATTCATTAATTTTGTGTTAATTATCGGACCGTGATCTCGACATACCGTACTAGCTAGGCTCATGAAATCAGCCCCTTTCTTACGAAAGTTACAGTTTCTTATAAAAATGACCAGTAATGACCAAGCAAGTATGTCAATCGGCTGCTTGCCAGTAGAGATTGCCCTTTTTTGTATTACGAATATCCTTTTCCTTTACACGAGGCACCCTAGGCAAGAAAATGTATCCCCTTCTCAAATTAACAATCATAATTTTGATAATCGGGACGCTGCTACACAAAAACATATTATTATAAAGTAATTTGCAATCAGAGAACTATTGGGGTTATATGACTAATTAGAAATATTTCAGGTAGCTTTGCAATTTTTCTATTTAGTATAAGACAGTTAACTGAACAATTTAACTCATGAAAGATTGACCCGAATAACCAGAAGTTGTTGGGAATTCGAAGCTGGTCTATGAAAGAGAAAAGCAAACTGCAAGGAAGCCACCAAGAAAAGGTAAGGATGAAAAAAAAATTAAATTTATGCTTCGTTGTTGGCGACTGCCATGGATACCCAGCAATCAGTTTCGACCAGTGAAACAAACACTTGGAAAGGCGTCTCTGCACACATAGCTGGGTCAACTACTCAAGGAACGTATCTTTTATCTTAGGTGTTAATCAAAGGCTTCATCCTCATGTTTACGTTAACAAACACGGACATTTTCAATAATTTTTGGACTTGTTAACTGGTCAGCTTTACTTTTTAATTGCAAATCGAATTGAATCAAATTCCTTTCATTTTGCATTTCTAGATCTATGAAGTAAGTGATTGTATCTTTCATGTTCTGTACATTAATTTTAATACGTTTGAAAGGAAGATAGCCAGTTCTCTCGATATTAAATTTTTATTACGTGGTAAACATAAGTAAAAACAGAAAAAGACCTGAAGATATTCAGTCAGAAAAAATTGCTCGATAGGCATGAAAATTGAGAAAATCGTCGGAAAAGCCAACGAGAAGCCTCGCGTTGATTCCCCTCAATCGAAAAATTACCCCCTTCTAAGGTTCCTGACAGGTTAGTGCTAAGTACACCAGGTGCAAGGAATTTTCTGTCCTTGCCCTCCCTAAGTCTAGAACAACGTACCCTTTAATTTGCAGTCATCCATTAGTTTAATAACTTTTCCTTTTTGCACTGCTGCTATTCCAGCTTGTTACCGTAAAAGATATAATAGATATAGGAGGCGTTTAAAAGATAGAGGTGTTTATTCTCGTAAATTTGACAAGCGCAAAGAAACTAAAAATATGCTAATTGATACTTCTAGGCCGTCAAGAGATCCATATCGTCCTCAATCAAATCTCAGTGTCAGAATAGTCAGGCAAGAACAGTCAGAACAGAACAGTCAGCCTTCATTGAAAGCCTATCCTCATTTTAAACTTGACATTGAACAAAATTGATGCGGAAACCCTTGATAATCAAGCAAGAAACTGAAAAAGTATATGATCGATTTTGCTCTTGTTTGCTTTTTCCCAGTGTTCTTGACTGACTGTCATAGGGTCGGGGGGCGTATAAATTTCAGCATTCAACCAAAACTCTCTGTAAATCTTAGCAAAGAAGGCAAACGCGTTACTGTAAGGTTTTGCCTCTGCTACAATAAGAACACACACGCCATGCAAGCCGAACGAAGCACGGAATTGCGATGAAACGGGGTGGCCTCAGGCTTTCTCTTTGGAAAAACATGTATTTTTTTTTTTCAATAAAAGAGCTCCGACTGGCTGCGTGTCTAACCGGACGGCGTAAGTTGCATTAAGTAATTCACCATGGTACGTGCAGGGATATCTTTCCCTGTAGACGCGGGATGTCATATATCGAAATGTGACCGCTAAGAGTACATGCTCCAAACTAATCCCGACTGTTCCCTCACAAAAAAAATGTTTACTATAATCGGTAGCTTCTCCGATTTCTGTTTGGGGCTCATTCTCTTTAGTAACTTTCAAAACAAAGTAAAGCACTGAGCGGAAGTAAAAACAACGTGGTGAGAATTTCTACCTAATTACCGCACTTGTGACCATCAAGTACACTGTTGTTTAATTTATAAAGTTGAACAGGTCAGACCTTCACGCTACAAACTCTGATTGTAAAGTTACAGACCGCATTATGACACCATTGTACAAAGCTACTTCTCGGGCCAGGGCACTTGGAAGAAGATTATTCAATCACAACGCCTTTTTGAAAACAAAAGATTCTCAATAAAATTCAAGGTTCAACTATGCAACCGTTGAAAACTTTGAAACCGTTTAAACGTACGTGACCTCTCAGGAAACAGCCCTCAAATTTACGAATTTTATTGGTCCGTTTGGTTTCTCCTTGCCATGGGGAACATCAAGATTCATGGGAAACAAAAACTGTCGCCCTTTTTCATTTTTTATCTAGAAAAATCACATCTTCACATCATGTTACGAGTACTGGACAAAAAAATCTGAGTCTGTAAAGGGATGCAAATTCATGGCCTCAAGTACATTTTTTTTATCCTGAAATTCATTGCGTCTCAGTAAAACGCAAACGTCCGCGGCCCAATCGTCAGTTAATCTGACAATGCAAAGAATCGATAGATTAAACTTAGCATGAGCTAAGGCTAATGACAGGGCCTACTTTATCTGAAATATTTATTGATATGCCATTCAGTTTCTAAGTTTTTGTAGAATCTATTTTTTCACTAAAGAATTTAAAGACTACTTACCCTTGCAACGTTTTAAACCACCTTTAGCTGAATTTGAAAGACAATAAGAAACTGCCTAAAAGGTGTCTCACAGCATAGTGGGGCGGATAAACAATATTTTATTAAGCAATGTAGTGTAACATTGACGTGTAATTTCCTTGCATTGTACGTAATTTGTTTTACAGAAAATTGACACGAAGGGGACATACAAAGCTGGAATTGACAACTTTGATGACAGATCGAGAGAGGGAAAGGAGTATGACACAGTTGGTCTTCCCCATAGCCATATGGGAGGTTTTGATACAGCAATAGGCAACCTTGAACGTTGTCTAAGAATTGCCAAAGAACTAGGCGACAGATTGGCAGAGGGAGTGGTGTATGACAGTCTTGGCAGCATCTATCTCAATCTGGGAGATTTAAAATCAGCAATAGACAACTATGAACGTTATCTAAAAATTGCGAAAGAACTGGGTGACAGATCGAGAGAAGCAAAGGCCTATGGCAATCTTGGCATCGCCCATCGCAAGCTGGGAGGTTTTAAAACAGCCATTGACTGCCATGAATGTCGCCTTAAGATTTCAAAAGAACTGGGTGACAGATGGGAAGAAGGAGCAGCGTATTGCAGTCTTGGTAACGCGCATCGCAATCTGGGAGATGTAAAAACAGCCATAGACTTCTATGAAAGTTTCCTAAAAATGACGAAAACACTGGGCGACAGATCGGGAGAAGGAGCAGCTTATAACAATCTTGGATACGCCTATGTAAATTTAGGAGACTATAAGACAGCCATTCACTACTATGAACGTCGCCTTCAAAGAACGAGAGAGTTGGGTGACAAAAAAGGAGAAGAAGCAGCATATAACAATCTTGGAAGCGCCCATCGCAAACTAAAAGATTTTAAAACTGCCATAGACTATTATGATCGTTGCTTGAAAATGACTAAAACATTGGGTGACAGATCGGGAGAAGGAGCTGCGTATAGCAATCTTGGAAACGCTCATGAACGTTTAGGAGATTTTAAGACAGCTATACACTATTATGAATGTCACCTTAAGATTGCAAAGGAATTGGGTGACAGATCAGCAGAAGGAGCATCATGTGGGAATATTGGAGGCGCCCACCACAGTCTAGGAAATTTTAAAACAGCCTTAGACTACCATGAACGTGAACTGAAAATTGCACAAGAGCTAGGGGACAGATCGGGAGAAGGAGCAGCTTATGGCAATCTTGGCGTCTCTCATTGCACGTTGGGAGATATTAAGACAGCCATGAAGTACCACGAATGCCATCTGAAAATCGCGAAAGAACAAGGTAACAGATCAGGGGAAGGAAAGGCTTATTGCAACCTCGGCAATACCCATCGCAGTCTGGGAGATTTTAAAACAGCTATCGGCTACCTTGAAAGGCATCTGAACATTGAGAAAGAACTGGGTGACAGATCAGGAGAAGGAATTGCGTATAGCAATCTTGGATGCGCCCATCAAAGTCAAGGAGATTTTAAAACAGCCGTGGCTTACCATGAACGTCGCCTGGAAATTGCAAAGGAATTAGGTGACAGATCAGGGGAAGGCGCAGCCTATGCCAATCTTGGTATCTCATATCACAGTCTGGGAGATTTCAAGACAGCCATAGACTATCAAGAACGTCATCTTAAAATCACAAAAGAACTGGGTGAGAGATCAGGAGAAGGAAAGGCTTATGGAAACCTTGGCAGTGCCCATCTCAGTCTGGGAGATTTTGAAACAGCCATAAAATACATTGAACGTCATCTAGAAGTTGCAAAAGAACTAGGTGACAAAACGGAAGTAGAAAATGCGTATAGTAACCTTGGAATCGCCTATGACCATCTAGGAGATCTAAAAACAGCCATAGATTGCCATGAACGTTGCCTGAAAATTGCAAAAGAACTGGGTAATAAATGGGGAGAAGGAAAGGCGTACGGCCAACTTGGCAGCTCGTATCTTGGTCTCGGAGATTTTATAACAGCCATAGAGTATAATGAATGGCATCTGAAAATTTCGAAAGAATTGGGCGACAGATTGGGAGAAGGATTGGCGTATGGTAATCTTGGCGTCGCCTATAGAAGTATGGGAGACCCAACTTTAGCTATAGACTACCAAACACGTTGCCTGAAAATTGCACAGGAATTGGGTGACACGTTAAACGAGGGAAAAGCGTGTTCAGATCTTGGTAAATCCTTTGAATCACTAGGCCAAGTTCCAAAGGCTATTGACTATTACCAGCAAGGTATTTTGTTGTTTAATAATATCAGAGACCGTCTTGAATTGAAAGACGACTGGAAAATAAGCTTACGTGATCAATACCAGACAACATACACTGCACTTTGGCGTTTGTTGTTGGCAGAAGGCAACGTTAAGGGAGCTCTGTTTTCTGCCGAGCAAGGACGTGCACAAGGTTTGAAAGATCTTATTGAACTTAAGTATGCCTTCGAAAGGAGTGGTGCGGGATCAGGTACAGAAAACAGAACAGTCGATGAACTGCTTAGGTACCTTCCTCCAAATACGATATTTACAGCTTTTGGAGAGAAAGAGTTAGTCTTTTGGGTCTGCCAGAGAGGGAAGGATGTTGAACTAAGAAAGAAGCAAATCAATTCGGCCACTAAAGTTGAAACTTTCTTTCAGGCTATTTCGCAGGCTGTGCTGCAAGAAATTGGTGCAAGAGGTCCTTTGAGGTGTGAAGATCGATCCCTTGATCTGGCGAGGGATAAAAGCCTGGAAGTTAAAAGATCTCCCCAGGATGACAGACAAACCAAGCACTTGGACTTGCAAAAAAGTGCCTTAAGTACATTGTATGAAATCATCATTGAGCCTATTCAGGATCTGTTTTTGGGTAGCGAACTCATTTTCGTTCCTGAAGGTCAACTTTGCTTGGCCCCTTTTGCTGCATTCGAGGATTCAAATTCCAAATACCTTTGTAAGTCGTTCAGAATTCGCGTGTCTCCATCCCTCACTAGCTTGAAGATGATTGCGGATTGTCCAGTAGATTACCATCTCAAATCTGGTGTACTTCTCGTAGGTGATCCCTGGGTGCAAGAGGTGACAAATCTAGAGGAGTTGCCATCTGCCAGAAAGGAAGTAGAGATGATTGGAAGAATGCTTGGCACAATTCCTCTGACTGGAAGACAAGCCACAAAGTATGAGGTGTTGGGACGACTTGGTTCGGTTGCTTTGGTGCATATCGCTGCGCATGGCAGCATGGAGGCAGGTGAAATTGCCTTGGCACCAAATAATGGTGAAATGGATTTTATGTTGACCATGAAAGATGTACTGAGTGTTCAGATGCGAGCAAGATTGGTTGTACTCAGTTGTTGTCATAGTGCTCGCGGGCAGATCAAAGCCGAGGGTGTGGTTGGTATAGCACGGGCATTTTTGGGTGCTGGTGCTCGTTCTGTTCTGGTGTCTTTGTGGGCGATTGATGACGAGGCCACACTGGAGTTCATGAAAAATTTCTATCAGCAGCTTGTAATAGGGAAAAGTGCCAGTGAAGCCTTGAATCAAGCAATGAACTGCATGAGAGAATCTGAGGAGTTTAATGCAGTCAGGTTCTGGGCACCATTCGTACTCATTGGTGATGACGTCACGTTGGAATTTAGTGAAAGCACCTAGATACTACAATGGCGAGGTAACATGTCTTATACATGAACTGTTTAAATAGAAAAATGTCCTAAATTAGGTCATTTTTTAACCTACATGACAGCTCTCTTGGCCGTCATGTAAATGCCGCGTCACGCAAAAGATTAGAAATTCAAGCGTACTCTACACAAAACCAAGAACCCTTTTGAAGCGAAAATTTGTATGACAATTCGTTTTCAGCTGCTCTAATGCATCGTGAAAGTAAAATCTCGGAAGGATCGATAGTTTTGTAGTTTGGATCTTAGTGACGTCATGTGAAAACCAACAATAAGTAAATAAGTAGCGCTAGAAAAATGTCACTTATGTACCCACGGTTCACAATATCCAGGTATATCTTGACTGGCACATTTACATATTGTGAAGTCATTATGACGTCATATCGTTGAGTTTATTGGCCGAGCCCATATTTCATCATTGTTTCCTCTAAAATAGGAAGGTACAGTTGAAACCCTCCACACCGATCACCTTGGGGACAGAAGAAAGTGGCCTTTGTAGAGAGGTTTCAATAAGAGTCAATGTATGGACTGTCCGCCGAAAAAAAGTGGCCGTTGTGGAGAGGTGACCGTTAGTGGAGGTTCGAGTGTATGTAACGAAATCAACTATCACACTGATCATCGATAAGAATAGCAATGAAGTCATGATGATGTCATATATTATCAGGTCTGAATAGGGTTAATCATCCTGAACGCTCTCCTTCATCTATCATTTCAACAGAAATGATAATGACAGAAAATAAATTAAGCATGTTTTGTAGTAAGACCGGGAAGAAAAATCATTACACTACGGTACCCTCGCCAGCTTTGCCCGGGGGGGGGGGATACTCCCATACGTTACCTATACGGGTATGTGCCGCCCAACGGGGTCGTGATTTTGAAGCTCCTGGTTTAGAACGGGGTATCCATTTCTGAGGCGTTTTCTAGAACGGGGTATAATATTTCGAACGCACGAAAGCTCCAGTTTTGTAAGCAGCCATTTGAAATTATTCAAGGACAGATTGCTTTTAAAAATACGGTTCAACACGTTAACCAGCAAGCTGTTGTACTCTTTGCACCTTAGAACGGAGTATAAAAAATTGGCCCATTTCTAGAACGGGGTATCAGTTTTAGGGCGAATTCTAGAACGGGGTATCAATTTTAGGGGAAATTTTTTTAGAACGGGGTGCCCATTTGGAGTCCCGGGCGGCACATACCCACTCAAAAAATACCCAAGTGCCCCCCCCCCCCCCCCCCCCCCCCTCCCCTTTTGGGAGGGGGGATTATTTTTTGGGGGAAATTTTAAAAAGGGGATAAATTTTTAGGGGAAATTTTTTAGAACGGGGTGGCCCTTTGGGGGCCCCGGGGGCCCACCCCCCCCCAAAAAAAAACCCAAGTCCCCCCCCCCCCCCCCGGGCAGCTTTGTTACAGTATGAAGTCGATATAACGTTCTATTATTTTACCACCAGCCTGTTATAAAGTTTTTGTATGTCTGATACTCATTTGCAGTCTTCAACTGTTTTCTAAGATGGGTGATTGACCTGTCGTGAATAAATCGGTCATCGTACGCACACGAAAAATGGTCTTACATAACTGTATATCCCTCTTTCCAATAATAACTTATACTGTCGGTTAGCCTCACGGTATAATCATTTTTTTGTCAAGACCTGACTCTTTTTAAATTTGAATGCAATTATTTATTAATATTTTCATTTTAGTAGTTACCTAGTGTAATTTTGTCTTGTAAACTAACTGTTTTATCTAGTCAGTCTCTATTATTCCGGTGATAGCGTAGCAAGCAACGTTGCCACAGATATAGGGACACTAGTAGCTCTAGCATTACTAAATAGGCTTTGACAGTCTGTTTTTCCCTTTTAGGGGCGAATAATGAAGGATCCATGTCACCGTAGAAAGCAACTACAAAGAACTGAGCGCTAGTTTAAGATCATACTTAATGAAGGATGTCGGCTTATTTATTGCAATGTCATCTATCTTTTTTGTTTGTGAGGCTTAGAAGTCAAAACTTTGTCTGCACTCATTTGTTTATTGGTATTCACGAGAATTTGGAACGACTCTTGTTCGTATATTAGGTAAGGGTCATTCAAGTTTGTGTCTTGTAGGTAGTCGAGGTGGTTCTGCGCCTAAAAAGGTTTCAATCATACATGTAATTCAGCAGGTTTTTGTCAATAATAGCTTGGTGAAAGTTTTAAGAGTTGATTAGCCGGAGTGTTTTTAGACAATTAATATCGTTGAAAATAGTACTGGTGAAAACATTTCTAGCAGTAGTATTTAAGGAGTTAAGTTCTTAGATTTTTAAGTATGCAAAGTACAGATAAAAGAGTTTCCAATAATTCCATGCGTGGTATTTCATATAGTGGCGCTAAGAATGAGGTGTTTTTAGTAGCGAGAACTGACCCACCCACATATCGCGAAATGACGATTCAAGGACTAGTTATATTTAGATATTTTTCACTGGGTCAATTACGAATTGGTTGCTCATAGATAATGCATGATTCCCAGTAGGTTTCTTTTAACCGTGATACGATTGCCCGGGGCTGAAAAAATATATCAGAGGTATCATAGCTTGTGTACAGCTGCAGCTCTCCGCCCACGGGAAAAATGGAAAGACGAGAAGGCGGCCGTACACAGGCAGGGAGAGGAGATTGACAATCTAATTTACAGCAAAGGGCAAACGTCAGATTCAATTTGACAATTTCTCAAATGAAGAAAGGAGCAATTGATAACTGTTCCCAATTTTTATTATTGTTATTATTATTATTATTATTATTATTATTATTATTATTATTATTATTGTATTATTATTATTACGGATAAAACTGGCGCGAAACGACTTACCCTGATTTTGCGTGGATATATAATATAAAGTAAATTACAAGTAAACGGAAACGTAATCACTTGTTAAAAGCTGACGTTTGCCGTAAACGTGGTTTGGTAATTTAAGTAGCGGTGATTTTTCCGCCTTTTGACAAACACGGCCATTTTGATGCTGGATTTAATTTGTTTCGTCCTTTCTGCGCAGATGCGTGAATCTGATATTAAAACTATGTCCCGTTTTGGTCCATCCCCAGAGTCCCAGGGACAGTCAATTAAGCCGGGAGAAAAGGCGCAACGAAATGCTTGAAAACTTTCGGGATGCCTTTTCCGACCTCCCGACCCAACTGACTGTCCCTGGGTCTCCGAGGCCTCCGGAGATTTAATTTACACGGGTTAACTGATATGCATACTTAGCGCCTACAAATCTGCATACCCTAAATGGAATAAACCCGGAAACATTTGTCAATCTGGAACAATCTCCGCTATGGTGCAAATCTCTCTAATTTTTTTTCTACAGATGCGAATAAAGTTAGTAATTTTGTTTGTATACAGTCTGTATTCTTCGTCATTAGAATAATAAAAAAATTAGCCTTATATTGTTCTTCCTATCCCCTTTGTAATCAAGGTTTTTGGTAGGCCATCGTTGATCTTAGCTTCACATGCTCATAAGACTCGGGTCACCTAAATGGACTCATTCTAAATAAGAGATTTAAAATACAACTTTTGGTAAAGGTTAAAAAAAGTGGTAGCAGGTTCAGGACCACCTTAATTTTTTCATGAATTAATGTGCCTGACTCAAGAGCTGGTCCATATTTTTTTAATCTCAGCAATAAGTTGTATTTAAACATAGTTATTGCAACTATTCGACAGCACAAAAGGGGAGCGTTACAGAACTAGGTTCGTTGCGTGAGCACTTGAAGCAAAGAGGGTGTTTTTTAACGTACATAATGTTTCTATGACAACTTTTAAAATTTTTATGCCACGAACATGACCATGACCTGCGTTGCGGACAGTCCAAATAAAATGTCTAAATCCCTTCTATAGCCTATATCGAGTTCTCTGTTTAAGTCTTGACTGACAAGTCCGGCCGCAACGGATGCTAATATGACCACAACATTTTAAATAATGATTGTGTTAAAAAAGCAAGTCAACTACAAGTGTTTATAAGGAAAGAAGAAAACCGTTGCATTGTGACCCTCCTATACTGTGACAGACCGCGAGCGGTCGTTCTTCTTTCAGAGACTGCTCGCCGTCTACCTATAGAAAGGAGCTTATATGGTTAGCACTGGCAGTTTTATAAAACTTGTGGTTGTAAAAAGTGGCACTTGGAAAACATCTGCGTTGGAAAATGGGATTGGCAACACACCTCACCCACCCCCGATCTTCCCTTTCGTTTCCAGACCCCCTTAAAATTCTATTTGGAACATCGACGATCAGCTGTGATACATGTAAATAGCCTTTTCACATAAACATCACTTCGGCCATGAAGGTGTCCTAAAACAATTAAACGGCGGCCATGTTGGTGTCCCAAGCCAATCCTATGGGAGTTGAACCTTTTTCTTATGTAAAACTTTCTTTGTCGCAATAAATTTGCATAGCTGCCGGCCACGTGAGTTAAAATGATCCATTTCTATCCCAGTTTACAAGTAAAAACTGGAACAATTCTCGCGATTTTTATAAGTGCTATAGCAACTGGCAGTATCATTCCTGTGAGGGAAACAAGAGGGACGAAGTTCGCGGACCAAAAATTTATTAGCTTTTATTGCGCTAGTTTGATACTAACGCAACTGTTGTAATCATGCAACTCCATGACTCCAATTCCAACACTAGTGCTAGTACACGTATGGTTTCAGGGTCCGGTTCCAGAAAGGTCGATTAGCGTTAATCCAGGATTAAAATTTTCTTCCGTTTTTGTACTTTACATTCCTATGCATTGCTGAGGGTAACATTTTGTGTTGTCATTATTGTATCTCGTGTCAAAGGCTCAACAGTATTTTGTAACCTCGAGTTGCATGTTCTTAGACTAGAAAACTGTGCTTGAAATTTGGTTTAATCCTGGGTTAAACTTAACCATCTTTCGAGGAACCGGGCCCTGATTATTATTAATGTAACAATCAGAGATTTAAAGGCTGTTAATAGAACGGGCTCCTGTGCATCAGTGATTGG